AGATGAAAGTTGAAGAGAGGCTGGGCGCCGGAGCGAGGGGCTAGTTTCAGGAATGAGAGAGCACAGCGACGAAGGAGACGCAGACACCACGCATTGCAAGCGGTGGGTGTCCATCAGTACGTGGGGTGTGCATGCATGCAAGTCATGTGTCCTTGGGCCCTTACCACGCGGTTCGAGTTGGTTGCGAATGTCGCAGTATTTCAGCTAGTTAGTACCTAGCTAATCTGAGAGAAGGATCGCTCCAAAAACTTACTGTGCCTCCAAAAAACGGGAGATTTAACAACCCCAGTTTTTTTCCACCTTCATTAGCCTAATTCCTTTAGAGGAGCTGTCTACACCCTTCCATGACTACCCCCTGTTTTCGAGTGGGATTTGCTCCGTCACGCCCCATTCACTGTGCATAGCATGCTGCCTTTTTCGATTCCCGGGGACTGGGGGCGGGGTGGGAGGGAGGAGGAAGGATTAGAGAGAAGGCACGAGAAAGGGGAACATCATCTGCAGCACCTCTGTTCTACTGAGAAATCGTGATTGCACAAAAGCAACCTACCAATCGATCCCAGAATCCCCGTTCCGTTCGTATCCGTACACCAGCTAGCCTGGCCTAGAACACCTGTGAAGAACGCGTCCTCGACTTCAAACACCTGAAAATTATAATATCTGAAATGACAGAACTGAAATTATTGCAATAGAAAATGAAGTTCAAAGGAGGTCTGAAACTTCTAACAATAAGTATGAGCGAGAGTGAGGAAGGGGAGGAGTGCTCAGGGACTCTTCTCCAATACATTCCCCATATAGTATGAATTCGTTTTGTTACACAAAGAAGCTGCGTAATAGTAATAGAAATTTGACATATTTGATTTCACCTTGGCTTCCCACACGACTTCCATAAGTGCTGCCAACGCTGCGGGTGTCATGAGGTACGTTGGACCGCTACAATAGTCGGGCAGATACTCCTCAGGATACGATGACTCGGGAATGTACCTGAAAAGTTGTCATCAATAAAAAAATTTGATCATTAGCCGCTAGTAAATGAGGTTACAATAGGGTGAAACTCCAGTTCGGGGGGGCCACTCCATTGCTATCTTATCCGTAGTACTAGAGAGCAGTTCTTTGGGCTATCGAATAATAACTTCGTATAGCATACATTATGCGAATTTATACGATAATTTTTATTTCAAAGCGGAAACGATAGCAATATTCTCATACAAAAACATGTCTCAAGACATTCCGGAGTGTAGTTTTACCTCTCTTTCACGAATCCCTCTCTCTTGCTTGGTTTCGTTTTTGGTGCGATTCCGAGTCGTGTGACGAAGTCACGACTCAAAAGACGCCTCCCATAGCTTCTGACATTCGGCCACCAAATATCAGTCTCGTCGTATGCCAGTTTTTTGCTAAGGACTGGTGTGTTTATATGGTAGTCTGTAGGCCGTTTAGTCTCGATAATTATGGCGTTTTGAATCCCTTGAGCCATCCTTCAACTTGGGCTTTTGCTGGTTGTTCCCTCGCCGAAAAGTTCGTTGAGACCGCGAAATGACCCTGCCGCTACAAACCTGTTCTGCGGAGTGGTAAAGGATAAAAGGATAAAGCATTTGCCGTTGATCAATCCCTTTTTGGGATGCGGCACGCATTCTACTTCCATTTGTACATTCGTAGTGGCGTTTGAATGCGATGTGGCCTATACAATGACTTGCGGGGGCCAGCCGATGTACAAGTCAGTGTTTTTATCCTCCCAGACAAGTCTGGTACCAATTAACCGACCCCGGAGGGATGGAAGGCTTGGTTGGCCCGGGCGACTCACGACCCAGGGATTTGAGTACCTCCCCGGACTGCTCTGGCGTGGGGAAGCGCGCGTGGGAAGCGCGCCACTTGTCACTACACCACTTCCGCCCTTGTGGTAGAGCATACGTGGCGAATATGTAGATGATTTTCGATAAGCATTTATGTTAATGAAGGAGAGAAGAATATTTCATGAATAATAAACAAAACGTCAATCTTCCCGAGAAGGGCGTGAAAAAAGCCGCAATAATTATGCATCAACCCAATAATATCTCCTGAGGGGCACGTCCTGAGCCAATCAAAGTCAGCGGTACGAGCTCGAGAAAGATCTTTTTGCGTTCATTACCTGGGGCCCTTTCCACACCCGCAAATGGCAATGGATTAATGCGGTAGAGAAAAGGAATATTTTAGCATTGCGGACTTGTTCAGAATGATTAGAATGGAAAAACTCCCACCATTTACTGCCAGTTTCACGAATGGGGTGCGCACGGTGGTGCACATAGCATTTAATGGATCTTTCGTCTGGATTTTGAAGATGAGAGGTGATCTGGAATCAAGCACCCTGAGAAAAAGTAGCGTTGAAGTACGCCACCAAGTCAAGGATTGCATTTTTAGCCATATTAGAGTAAAACCTTGTCAAGGAGGAGAACCACGTCAGAGTCGACTTTGAGCACGAATTTGTCCGGATAGTTGGCAGAAATCAACCGATATGCGGCAAAAATCTGAAAATTAGAATAAAATAAATAAGAAAATAAGAAAATAAGACCTGCATTGAACCAACTCCTGTACACACATACTAATACACGACATGGTATTAGCTTCATGATAATAAACATGGCAATTTTTGATAAAGTCTGGAAGTTGGTGAAATACAGCACATTGTGGCACCGTTCGGTATAGAAATCCCCAAATGGTCGGCGTTCACGCGACAATGCCCACTAGATACTGCTGGAGGGGCATCTGGGCTTTTCTCATACACTAGTCCCATTCCACATTTTCTCGTACTCCAGGTTGCTTCGGAACGTATACAGTGGTGGCCAAAAATGAGATACTTTGCTAATGTCACATGTCAGCAGGCTTGACTCGCACAGGTTGCCGTGGTCGATGGAAGCCTTATGGCAAAATATTCCTGAAATGTCCCTCCATACGCAGACACAAGCCCCCTTTCGTTGCCCTCATCTTCAGAATACGACGTCATCTGCAATCGCTTTTGAGCTCGAAGGTCTTCCGTAATTACTACAGCCTGAAGCAGCTACATAATTTCTCCAATTGGTTCCTCTAGACATTCGCTGTGACTATGACCGACCCCTTACGGCAAGCGTTTCATCAAATGTCGTAATGGTCCACTATCCGTCGAGGACCTCTCTGAGCTCGAACAAAGTTCCCATG